GTCAAAAAAACTATTTAGCCAGTAGTACGGATTGACAGGTTGCCTTGTGGCTCCGAACCAATCAACTGCTGATCTACTAGGAAGAAGGCCCTTGAGATACGCGCCGAAACGTCGATATTTGCCAGTAACCGGATTGATAATAATTTCTTTAGTGTTGTGTATTATTAAACCGTGTTTTACACTGTTTTTTCAGCACCGGAAGATGTAAGAAAAAAGTTGCTAGATGCTGCGCAGTGCAAAACATACGAAAGGCTGAAATGCCGGAACGGCTTTGGAAATATAAGTTACTTGTCCTCTGTTAGTTACTGGAGTCGTGGCAGTGTCTGGCGACGTCCGACGTACAAACACAACAAATGTTCACAAATTCGTCACTGGACGACAAAAATAAAGCAGCACTGAAACGGTCAAACAAAATAAAACGATGATGAGGGAGATGAAAGAATGCGGTGGTGACACCAGTGCTTTTTGTCGTCGTCAACAATGGACTGGAGAATCGCCAAGAACAAGCAAGCTGCTCGATCACAAACGTTCGCTTACTAAAGTCCGTTTAAAATTAATCAGAACGCTAGAGATAGGTGATCAGTAGCACAATGGAAAAGCTAGGCTCGTACGATGAAAGTCTATCACTGACGCATCTCAGTTGCCTCGGCTCAACTGGCATTGTGTATGACAAGGAGGAATTGGACAATCAGAGACGACTCCGGCAAGACGCTGGATTTTTGGGGCATGCTTACCTCATGCACAAACTACCATCAAGCACCATATGCCCAGATAGGTAAAATGCCAAACAACCGTGCATCCAACTTTTATGATCTCGTGTCAGTTTGAGGTTCATATCTGAAAAGGGCAATTCACGTTTGGCATATACCACGGATGATTACATCTTCAGCTGCTGAAAAACCATGACTTTATGCAGATGGCTAACGACGACGCATCGCCGCCGATGACTATGATTTCACTGAAAAGTCAGTTTACAACTGAAGCCCAAAACAGTCGTTTGAGATGCGCTAAAACTAGAAACGCATTGGGCACTTGAGAAAGAGTTCTGTTCAAGGTCAATGATAGACGGACAGGTAAGTAGAGCAGTCGTTTCTCCGTTTCTACTGATAATTGCTCTGTACTTTGCAATACGTACGCCCCGATCTAGTAATTTATCTCATAGTACCTTCTCCTGCAATTCTGTGTACCTAGTTCGCTCAATTTATCGTTCCTCTGCTACATTTGGGTTAATTAATTGTGCTCTTCTTCGACGTGAAACGTTTGATACCGTATCACCTGTTCACAGATAGGTGATTGGCAGGTTGCATTATTCCCGCGAATAATACTCACCGTATACTCAGTAAGACCGCTACGAAACTTTCTCCCCAGACTTTTACGAAGATATGTCACACTGGAATCTTGCACGATGCTTGACATCAAAGAAGGCACGGTCGTTATATTCGTATGCTTAATGCAAAATAGTACTAATATCTATTAACTCTACGTAGTCATTAACTGTGATAATCGTGCATTTTTGTATATGCAAAAAAATTGAGTTCAATTCAAGGAGTAAACTTTCAAAACTGTCAGATCTA